CTCATTTCCTGATAGTAAATTGTATAGTAGGATATTCCATCAGGAATATACAATATTATAAAATTACTGTCTTTTGATGAGGTAAATGTGTTGTTTAATTGACTTTTGAAAGACTTATATTTACTAAGGTAAAAGGCCGAAGTGAATAACAGTTTTTCAAAAGTCAATTAAACCACATATTTACCGAAACAAATTGTTTTATTCCGTAATCTGAGAGAGAAAAAGTATGTAATGACAATTATCATCAAAACACAATTGTACATCAAACAATTTACCATAATTTATTCACGTCAAAGCACGCGACGATTTGCACGTTGAATATACTTTTTCCTCATGTGAATATGCTGTTTTATTTAAAATCCATTTCATATATAAGAAACTTTTAAAGTTATATTTATATGGAATAAACAAGATTGTCAAGTCTTCAAATAATTAATGTGGATTGCAGATTAAGAAGTGGAATGTCAAACTTTTATTCGTAGTGACTATTTTAACACTACATGTAATATATATTTTCTCGTAAATAGTATTTTCATTTTCTAATTTAATTTTCATATATACTAATATAAAATAAGTTTGTGGCAATTGCAAAAACATAAAATATATTTTAAGGAAATTTATAAATAAACAAATATAAGATCAGGTAAATATATCAAGAATCCAATAAGTACGATTTTGATCCAGTCATGCTGGATCTATGTGAACACTCCGGATTTTAAGATGGTGCAGAATTCTGAATTTAAGGCTTATCACGAAACTAATAATGTGTTTATATGACTTGCAGAAAGTTTAATCATCTATTGCCAACTTTTAACATGGTATTTGTCCTTCAATTAAGAAAAGAAAGGTCGAACAGCTACTTAATTCAAGATATACACTTGCATATATAGTTTCGTTGTAAATAAAAAAAAATGTAAAGGTTTAAGATTATTTGAAGGTTAAGGAGAGCATACCGCTTACATGTAGCACTGAAACCTTATAACTTGATTAGTCAATTCATTTTTTTCCAGTGCAACTTTTCCCAACCCTTCAAAGATTTTATCTAAATGATATCAAGAGTCATTTCCAAAACTCCTTTGTACATAGGTTCTTTTAGAAGCATTTCATGTATGAATGTTGATTTTCTACCTTTTCAGCAATTGATTTTTTTAATCTTAAAACAAATGTGATTCTTTAATATAATGCTTGGTGGAGGTAAGTTTTTTCTTAGATGGTGCTGCATTTTTCTCATAACCAAATATAAACAACATAAATGCTTGAACACTGTTTCAATAACTGATACGTTAAAACGCACGAATAACTTCTAATACATTTGTAAGAGTTCTAAAATGTCCTGTACCAAGTCAGGAATATGGCAGTTGTTATCAAATAGTTCGTTTCTATATATGTTGGCGTTTATTTTTGTTGTACTTCATTGTTCCTGTTGTTCCTTTGTTTTCCTCTTAAAGTTGATGTGTTTCCCTCGGTTTTAGTTTGTAACCCGGATTTGTTTTCTCTCAATCGATTTATGACTTTTGAACACCGGTATACTACTGTTGTCTTTATGTATCCCATATCCCAGGTCTATCCACTTAACAAGGGTTCAATTATTTTTATATTTATCGTAGAATCAGGTTATTCTAGTCAGTTTAGCCTGTGTCTTGTTGAACTCTTTTTTTCATTTTTATATCTGCATTGAACATGAATAAAAATTGCAAAAATTAAGTTATCTTTTAGGTAGTGTTTAGTATAATTAGAATTTATTTTATTTTCGGAGAGGACTATCTAAGTTGTGATAACTTGTGTCTGATCTTTTTTGTTATAGGTAATAGCAAATAAAATATGTTTTATTTTTAAATTATACGTAATATAAGCAATCCAAGTCATTCTCTTTATTATTACTTTTAATATGACCATACATGTACCAGATGATAGCTTAACTATTTACTTAACTTTATAATTGTTGTTATGTTACAGTTACAGTAAAAACACTCTCACTGCAATTATCTAACAACTAAAGTGTAGCATCATTTCTTCAAGAACGACTGCTAAAGGCTCTGCATGTAAATATATATCTACAAAATACACAACTAAATCTCTAATTCAAAAGACCCTAAAATATCTTTTTTTTTTGGGAGACCCTTTCTGAAAGCAATGATTTAAAGATATCCTTTGTGTGTATAGCCACCTTTTTGTATTCTGAAATATGTTATCACATTTAGGAGTATGAACGGCATTAACAGATGATTTAAAATAGCTAATATTTTCTATGATTTTTTCTTTTAAAATATGAATTTTTCTTTTTGTAGGCCTTCGAAGAATTTATATTTTATCAAATGTATGCACCAATCGGATGCCAACGCCCACTTTAAATGACAGAACTTGTCGACTTTTCTTTAACAGTTATACTACCAATAATATTAAATCAACATGCCATGTCAATTAACCGATTGTTTTTTTTATTGGGAACTGTGAATATTTGATTTCTATTTAATTATAGTAATGTTTCCAAATATTTATTCTAATGATCTTATGTAAATAAAGGCAACAGTAGTAAACCGCTATTCGAAATTCATAAATCGATTGAGAAAAAAAAAAAAAAAATCCGGGTTACAAACTAAAACTGAGGGAAACACATCAAATATAAGAGGAAAACAACGACACAACAGAAACTGAACACTAAAATAAAATGTAGCATTATGTTACATTATGTAACACTTTTAATTATAGTATAAAAGTATATTCAACTATAAGTCGAGATTTGCTTTAGTAAATAACCCCAGCTCGATATTTGTTTTCGTTAATAATTTAAATATCTGTTGTATGTTTATCAAACATTTATTCACCTGTTGAACACATATGAGTAATTATCAAGTTTCAATGTTTTCATATTTTTCGTAGAATCAGATTATTTGGACGAAAAATCATGTTGTTATCGCAATTTTGGTCAGAGGAAACGTTAGGTAATTCTGGTCAGTTGAATGGGACGACTTAACTGCAGCATGGGTAGAGTCTATAAGAGTACATGTAAACTCTGATATAAAGGAAAGTTGTTAACTGTAGGGACTTGCGATATGTGAATATACACAATGCTCAGACATTTACTGAAATAGGTATCAAATGAATTTTTGTCAGATTTCTCCCGTATACACCATTTTTTACAATAGGATGAAAGATCATCTTAAATGACCCGATGACACTCTTTCCTATTTATTTTCGACGGTGGGCAATATTTTGGTCTTTTTATTCAGAAAGCTTATAACCTCTCGGTCTTGATCGATGTTGAGGTATCCTTTAATTACATGGCCATAGGGATCATATCGAAACTTCAATGTTTCAAAGTCTCATGTTGAGGGAACATTGTTTTTTCTGTACTGACATATGATGTAACTGACGTATAATTAAGAATTGAACTTCTACTGTTGTTTTTTTTTATACGTATAATAAATAACAGGTGTACCTATGTTATCAAAATATGGAGATATGTAGGTATAACGTTTTGAATGGTAGAGTCATTAAAAATACTAGACAAATTAATAAAATCAATATCTAGATGTTAATGTATCTTATTTTTAGAAATTGCCTTTTATGGTCTTCAGGTTTGTCAATATAAGGCAACAGTCTGTAGGGACAAAAAGCTGTTATGATACGCGCGCACTCATATTTTGGACTGACAAACGATATTGCGCCACACCGTTATAAATATGATGTAATTAACTAATTGGTATTTGACCCAGTTTGCATAATAATTGATGTCTACCATTGTTTTTGAATATAGATAAACGATCACCAAATGTAAAATTAGAACGATGTTTATTTCGTTGATTGCGGTTAATGCGATTGCCATGAGACCTAGCTATGATTACGTTGCCTTTTATCAACAATAGTCATGCTAGCAATAGAGGAGGTTTTAGATATGTTTCCTTGTTATTATCATGTAGACCTAGGGGATACACTGTCTCTAGTCGTTTTATTCAAGACAATTAATTTGCAAATTTTATGGGAATCTTTACAATTGTTTATGTAATTGTCATGGTGATTTCTGGACAGTTTGAAGCGGTTGGAATTTTATAAATTTAATATTATGTTTATGTTTTTCTAAATGTTGGTAAATTAAACTTTTTGAATTTCTTAGGTCTGTGGAAGCGGTATAGATGTTCTTGTGGTGTTCGTTAAAAATGTCACATTCAGTTTGTCCTACATATTGAATAATACATTTCGGTTTAGGAAATGTTACAAGATATATGACACTTTGGGTTTTTCAAGTAATGTTATAGGAAAAGGAGAAAGAAAAAGCTCTTCTTAGTATTATCTGAATATAATCTGGAGCAGATTTGTCATTTTCTTGCATTGCACGGGAATATGTGTGGATATCCACGTCCGTTTTTGTTGAATAATCTAGTTTCCTCATTATTATATCATAACAATTTTTTTATTACATTGTGTCCTTTTGAACACGTTGTTTCTGGGGTCAATAAAGCATCATACATCTTGAATCTTGATAATGTTTGACTAAAGCTTAACAAAAGAATATCAAGAGAGTACATTATTTGTGCAATCCCCGAATGAGGAAAAATTTTAACAGTTTAATACGGAAATTGGAGAAAAAAGTGATGATTTATTTTGAACATGAATCCGAAAGAAGCTATCGGCATTTCTTTAGCTAAGAATTATTTCAATTTTGATCCAAAATAACTTAAATATAAAATGTGAATTAAATTAGTGTATCCCATGTTTCTTTAATACAAATTCTATCAAATATTTCTTTAGAAACGTAGACTAACAGAGTATAAAAATAAATAAATAATAAAGTTTGTTTTCATATGTATGCAAATCCAAAATGTTCATTAAAATTTTAAATGCAAATTTAACTTTTAGGAGGAACAAATAGAATTAGTAGCATTTAGTACAAATTAACAATAATGACCAAATATGCGTCATAACTGACCCACAATTTTTGTATTTAGTCCACAATTATTGGTACTGAACTTCAGATTGGAATCCATTCTTACCGAAAGAAAATGAATTTCCAATTAATATTTCTGACCACTTGTGTTGTTGTTACCTTCAGCTCACCAGTAGAACTTGAAGACAAACTACGCACACTTTTTGCTGATGAAAAAGAACTAAATTTGAAAGGCTTGGGAGTATCAACAAGAGGAACAGGTACAGGAAGTTCATTGTCTAAAACAGAAAGAAACACAATTCTCAAGCTTCACAGAGAGGCTCGTAACAATGTTCAGCCACCAGCTTCGAACATGCAGAAAATGGCAAGTATAAACATTATTTTCAATATTTTTTTAATTTTTGTATTTGTCTTCTCTTACAATAAATCTCCTGTAATCTTTGCTTAATGTGTTTTGCTAAAAGCAAAACAAAATTTTCGAGTATAAATCAAATTTTCTTAAATATGTACTTCATAGTAGACCTCAATAACATTTCGCTGTGATATATATCATGACCGATAAGCATGAATGTAATCTTGGTGTTCCAGGAAAGTTGTAATTAAAAAAAGAAAAGACCTAATGTTTGGGTGATGATTTATATGGATTAAACACATTTTTTTTCTAGAGGTTATTAATGTGTAAACTATGTCGCTGACTCACAAATTTAACATATCAGTACATTGGACATTTATTCAGTTTGGAAGCTAATCAACACATCAATTAGATCAAGCAAAATAGTATCGTACGTTTATATTAGTACCACGTGGTCATTACCGCTGCTTGTTGACTGGCAGTACTCGCGGTTACATAAAATTGGTGCTTCAGTACACAATTTGACTGCATAATTTCATTGAATTATTATAAAAATCTACTAAACTTAGGCTGCAAATCTCCATTTGGCATTAGATGTATTTTTGTTTGTTAGTACTTTCTTGTTTGGTGTTCTAAAACGTTTTATATTTTGACTTTCCAAAATTTACATTAAAATCGTAAATGCAAATTTAACTTTAAGGAGGATCAAACAGAATTAGTAGTATTCAGTAGAAATTAACACTGAAATATTTTAAATCCAAATACTAACGTTGAAAAACTGATCAAACTAAAAAGGACCTCACTTTAATCATATACCACACATCGTATTTTATTCATATTTGCATAAATTGTACATACATAAATTTTCAAGAAAATTTTGGATGTGCATACATACATACTAGCCTAATACATGTATGTGTATATTAATAACTTCATTCAACCATTATTTTTCAATGCATGTTAATAAATTAAACATTGACTGTTTTGCCTTTTATCGTTTTCTCTGTAGACCTGGAGCAAACAACTGGCTTCTGTAGCCCAGGCTCACGCTGATAAATGCATCTGGAGTCACAACAGCGAAAGGTCATCACAGGCTAGCAGTTTCAGTTACGTCGGTGAAAATCTGTACGTTACAACAAGTAAGACATTTTTTTACCAATTAACACTGACATACGGTTGGGGTTAAAATCTTTTGGACGAGGTTAAAGAGGCACTATTTGGCACCTGAAATATATTGAAATTCGTCAATTCTTTCAAAATAATGGTAGTTTTATTGATAAATTAATAAATTGATATAATACCGACATCTAGTTGCAGTTAAGTCCGTAGTGTGGTGATGTGTGTGAGATAAAATGTATAAGCGTCAGTTCATTTAAATGATACCATAAGCCCGGCGGGTAAATTGTATCTTTTTAATGTACAAACGGTTATCAACCGGTCTCTTTTACTTGTCTGATGATAATGCTATTATAATTGTGACGACTTATTCAAAGAACAGCAGAGTGGATTCAGGATTTTTGAATGGAGGGCGTTAAACGAACGGAACATAAACCGACAAGCGGAACCAGTTCAGAAAATTTTATGTTAAAAAATTGTATAATTTTGAGTCCCCTCTACGACTCTTGAATCCGCAACTGAAAAGTATAAATGACAAGGTTTTGGCAATTTTTTTTTCATCAAACACCAGAACTTTCAATCCTGGCGGCAAAAAAATATGCAATACACAATTCTAAAACATAAATACAAATATTTGACAAATATATATCTTGTTAACCTATGAAAGGTGTTATTCTATAGATTTATATCACGTTTTGATATTCGTATTCAATGGGGAAAATAGTCGCCTTATGATACATTCTTCCTTGATTGAACACATATCTATATAGGTATGTGACTTATGTGTCATATTTTAAACAATGCTTTTATTTATTATCGGAGATCCAAAATTCAAAAACAGTTATGAAATTAAAGTAATTGTAAACACATGAAAGATAATGGATTTAAGACACATCATATGCGCTAAATATTGCAACAAACAACTCAAAAACGGTCTGATTCGATAAATGTACTCGGACGTGACCAATAAAAAGAGTATTACAGAAACCCGTGTCGTGCTGATTGGAATCGAAATAGAATTTAATATTATTACCACTAATTCCGAGTAGACTCTCAAGTACCCGACATTTTCCTTTCTCTATTCTCTTTACGAGTATACATCTATTAGACAGTAATTCAAAGCACAAATAACTAAAACACATCTAGAGAGCAACATACAATCTACAATAGTAAACAGATCCATAATTATCATTTAAATATATTTATGAATTTGTTCATAGGTTCTTATGAATATTTGGACAAAGGTGTTGCATCATGGGTGAATGAAAAGAAAGACTATGATTATGCTTCTAATTCCTGCAGTGGAGTGTGTGGACACTATACACAGGTGAGAATTAAGTATCAATAAATGTTTATTCTTACTGGAAAGAAGCAATTGTGACATTATATCACTAAATGCATTGAACTGGGTCTAATACTTAAAGATGTAGGAAACTGCGACAACCACAAGAAAAGTAACTTTTAAGTAGCTGATATATATTGCCTGTTACGAGACACTCAGGATTTGCTGCTCCGTTTCTTTAAAAGTATCTAAAAGTAACAGGACATTCGCCGAATCATTTATTTTTCAGACACAACCTTAGAAGATTAATAAACAGCATAACACCCCATCAACAAAATAAATTCACACAAAAACATCAACATTGCCCCTTAACATTTGTGGTTAAATAATCACAAAATGACTTTGAATTACAAGGTCTGTAGTCTGTATTTGCTTTTTGAGATTGTCAGTGTATCATCAGGTTAATAGGATAATTAAGTAAATATATATCTATTGTATATATAATTTAAGAATAAAAAACACAAAACATCACATTGTTAATAGAATATTGTTTCTGTTAGCGCTTTCACCGCATATCTTACGATTCATTTGACAGAATTAATTGACGTCGTTAATAGTAACGACATGTGACGTTACTAAATAGTAACGTCTTGCTGTAGTCATCATATAAAATACGGATTAATATTTACGGACCGAAGTTCACTTCCTAATCAAGGATGGATTGTACAGTTGAATAAAGTAGTGTTCCTTTGCATCATGCGGAATTTTATCTTCAGTCCACATCTTGAAAAAAGGAGATATTTTAAATTTTCTTTTTCCGGATTTATCAAAATGTTCCGAACATGGCGAATTCCTAATTGACGGGTCCTTTATTTGCTGTTTGTGGACTCTGACTTTATCAACTAGTCTATTGGTTTAACCTATGTAGTTTGCAATTACATTACAAGCGGTACATGTTGCACAATAAATAATATTTTCCGATTTGCAGTTCATACAGTCCATAAAACCAGGTTTAATCCACCATTTTCTACACAAGGAAATGCCTGTACTAAGTCAGGAATATTACAACACTAGTTGTTTTCCATTCGTTTGATGTGTTTGAGCTTTTGATTTTGCCATTTGATAAGGGACTTTCCGTTTTGAATTTTCCTTGGAGTTCGGTATTTTTGTTATTTTACTTTTTAAATTCGGTTTGATGACTGTGCCTGTTTTACTTTGGCCCACTTCTATCACATCGCACGTCCCACATCTGAGATCACCGCAATTTTTCACCTCTACTTCATTCTGCGTACTTAATTTTGCTCGTGTAAGAAGTTTCTTTAGATTTGATAATTATAATTATGATTTTAATTTCAAGACATGTTTAATGAGAGTGTTCCAATTGGCAATTTATGTCATTTTTTGAGGCACTGCTTATCAATAGCTTATTAATGTCGTCTCGCCTCAAATGGTCAGATATATATATTTGTCACAGAACGTAAAACAAGCATAATAAGTCTGTTCTAAACTTTAAAATATCTATGTATTAGCCATCTGTTGCGTTTCTTGTATCTATTATTTCTTTCTACTATGTTTCGCTAATTGAATCTTTCAACCTCTTTGTAATATTTCGTTAACAGCTTGTCTGGGCTGACAGTACCAAGCTTGGTTGTGCCGTAGGAAGTTGTCCTACTATGACTAATTTACCCTCTTACTTCAAGAATGTCAAATTCGTAGTATGCAACTATGGACCAGGGTGAGTTTTACATTCTATTTAGATAACAATATACATAGATATATAATTAGAATTCTTTACATAGCATTCAGTATTTCATGCCTATTTTCATGTGTGAAATAACCGGAGGTATATATGCATAACACAACAGCATCAACATTAGCTCTAAAAATGTTTATATCTTACCAATGCCATACCAATGACCTCATAAGCATAAACTGGTACCCATACCAAGACCTGCTTATTGAGTCCCACTATAGCAATGCATGAACGTTATTGACATTCATTAGGACTGAGAATGTGTACATGTCAAACGTCAAAAGTTAGTATGACATGATATGGAATCTGAAATAAGTTCTAGAGTCATATCAAAATGTCATTACCCACAAACATATACCATATTTCATTGTATATGCCTACGTAAAAGTCTTCATTTCTTTTAAATCAAATGCTTTGAATGTAGTTGTTGTGAATAGAAATTAAATGAAAGAGATCATGGAGCTCCATTCTGAATATCTATCCTGATATCATGACCCTCTGTCAACGTTCTGGCTGATGCGGTATCATATTGGAACTGACATGGAAATCGATCTTTAATACTACAAGTTTTGTAACTTATATAATATAACACCAGTTTAACCTACTAAAAAGGTACGGAGTGCTTCGAGGTATCATAAAATAAGGCAGCTTGAAGCAATGATTGCTGATTGGTCTTGAATACCCTTACTGTAATTCAATATCTTCTCATATCCGGAAAATGTTCCAAATTCTAGATCTAATTCTAGCCTGTCGAAATTAGGCCATATTATACGTCAAACAATCAGAACTGATATTGTTGAGTAATCATTTCAGGATGGCGTGAATATCAAGTGAAACTAATAGCTTCGGCACCGTGATGCGACGCAATAGAATTCCGCCATGGTAAGGATTTACTGTTCCTGCAATCAGAAACAGACAAAAGAGATTCATAGAAAGAAAACATCATCAAAATACAACTTATAAAATATTAACTGTTTTCTGTTTTAAGAAATTTTAAGGGCAACTAAAATTCCGGATTTGTATTGGAATTAAAAAAACCAATACATTTCATTTCTAAGGGGGATAAGCATTTTATTTGATTGAAAGTATCATGGCAACACATTTACAAAATGAATAAATCAAATGATATGCATTGTATACATGTCCCTGTATTATTTCCATCGACGAGAGGGCATTTAAAGATTTTTTTTTAATTGATGTGTAACAATATACGTAGAAGTCTTAATAAACGCATATGCATATCATAGGATAGAGAATGGAAACGGGGAATGTGTCAAAGAGACAACAACCCGACCAAAGAGCAGAAAATAGCACAATACTACCAATGGGTCTTCAACGCAGCGAGAAAATCATGCACCCGGAGGCGGGCTTCAGGTTGGATATTGGTTTTCCTTGATCGAATTCTGAATCATGTTGAAAATGTGTTTAAAATGGCGTTAAAACATTCCCTTAATTTTGCAGTGGTAATTACAATGGGAGGAAACCTTATGAAGAAGGCACAGCCAGCAATGACAATGGATCAGCGGGATCAACCGGCTGTTAATAAAAAGGTAAATTGAGCTTTCGTGTCCTGCACTAGTAGCAAGATTTAAGTCTGAAACGGTCATTTTGGTCTGATCAAGTCTTAATCGCCTTGATTTACTGCTAGGGAAAAACGTTAAGACCGGTTTAGACTTTCAGACTCTGTTCCGATATATCGTGTTCAGTCAGATCAGTCGGGTCAAGATAAACAAGACAGATTCTTCTAGCGTTCAAATAAGACTTGATTAGATCACGTTCAGATAAAATAAGACCAAAGGTAAAAAATCTGTTTAGTTGCTGTAAGATCGTGTTCAGTCGTGTTAAGATTTTAAATATTTTAAATAAAACGAGCGACACTTTATCTGTGTTTGTCAGGGGTTACTCCCCTTTATGAATAAAATCGGCATAGCTAGGAGGATATTCTTTTGTGGTCTTTTAATGTAATACTGTATATCTATTTCATTAAATAACGTATGCAAACGTACAATTCATTTTTTCCCGATAGAATTTTTAACATTTAATTGGTTATATAAGAAAAGATTAATTGTCTTAACCGGGAAATGTGTTAGTCATTAAAACTTTGCAGTCGTGCTTTCTGACATAAAGTAGTCCTGTATTTATTCATTCCGCCCGTAAAGATATAATGATAAGTAATATATCCCAAAGATGTTCTGAAATTTTCTTAAACATTTTTTGTTTCTAATGTAAAATAATAGTTCTGATCCATATAAAATTTGTCAAGAAAAATATATTCTAAGTATCTAATTTACTTTAAATTTTTAAATATTATATAGATGACAGTTGCTTGGTGAAAGTTATTTACATTTCAATAAACGGATTATCTAAGCAGTCAACTGAAACGGGTTGTCATAAACTATCTAAATAATTACCCATGCAACGCTTATGATGTTTTATCTATGGACGTAAAATGAATAAAGTTCCATGTTTTATCTTATATAAGGATTTACCGGGTAAAATTATTACATTGACAAATAAAACATTATTTTTTCAAAAAAAATGCAACAAGAATAAAGAATATTTAAAGAATTTAGTTGACAGTTTATATTTACCATTAGGTACCTATAAAGACCGATTTCGATACCTCTCTTGATTTTTTTTTATCATCAAGTTTTTTTTAGCAAGAACTAATACAAGAATAGATCATATAGAAAAATATCAAACAACGATTGATAAAATCTTGTGTACGGTTTATATTTCTGTTTCGTATCAGATTTTTTTTATAACACCAGCGTTACTTCTCATTTAAAAAACAGTGAGATGCTTACTTGCTTTTTTCGAAATTGACCAAAAAGCTATAGAATAACGTAGCGAAATGACTGTACTTATAGATTATACCTTTGTTTTTCCATTTTGAATTGTTTTACACTAGTCATTTTGGGGACCCTTATAGCTTGCTGTTCGGTGTGAGCCAAAGCTCCGTGTTGAGGCCGTATTTTTAATCTATAATTGTTTTATACTTTGTAACTTGGATGGAGATGATTATTTGGCACACATACCACATCTTCTTATTTATATTAACCGGGAGCAGTTTATAATATTTTCATTTCGATAAAAAGAAATATGCAATTCAGTAAATCAAATCGATTTGTACCATATTGTTACATTCAAAAGTCTTTAACTGAAGTAAATGATTGATAGAAATACATTATTTGTATTGCATCGCTCCTAAAATAATGTCCAGTGTCAAATATTACACATCGATGATCACTTAGATGTTCAACTGATTCAACCAAAAATTAAACTTAGGACTAGGATCAAATGCAATTCATTACGTTACAATTGTATCCAATATTAATATTGTTATAACATTCAGTCGAGGAAAAGACACATGTGACATTGATATGCATTGGTTTGTTCTAGCCTGATACGGCGAGCGCGTGTCGACAAAAAAGGTCATGTTAACAAGAGAACAATTGTTGTGAATCAGAGCCAAATTGACCTTTGTTCCAACTTTACTCATAAATAATGCGTGCTTGTGGACAAAAGGTCACAGACGAAAGGTCACAATTCAGTTTCTGAGACTATTTTCTTTGAAAAAGAGAAACTACTTATTTAAAAAAATATATTTTGTATGTATCTTGAACTATTGTATATATAAACCAACTCTGTAAACAAATGTATTAAATGAACAAATAATTGTTTAGTAAACAAACTATCAAAGTGGATTGGTACCTAAACAGCTTCATGGTGCTAAGAAATATTATATCATTTGCATGATTAAAATTTAATAAATCTTCATTTACCAAGGCTAATGAACAATTTCATAAACTGTAAAAAGAATATATGTAATACAAAGTAATTTTTCAAGATATTTCTCTTACATACTTAAACAATTGTCACTTCCTGTCCTGTGACTTTTTGTCCTGTGACTTTTCACTGTTCGCTTACTGTTAAGAATAGGACCTCCCTTACCCAGGACCTCCCTTACTAATGGAGAGAAAGCTGTCGGGACTACCAATCCTAAGTGTTAGAGAGAATAAAAAGTACATCAGTCATTCTCAATTTTATGTTTTGCGTAAAACAAAACGGTTTTAAATGTTGAATTTAAGGAATGCTCGGATTTAAAAAAATAAATCTTTTTCGTTGAAATCATCCTGAATATTATGTAATATTGTACGCTGAACATTCAACGATCATGGCCAAGCATGTGTTCTTCAAAATGCAATCTGTAGAAGAAAAAAACACGGTTTTAAATCATGTACATTGGAAATCAAGAATCGTGTGTCGTGTTCGACCTATAATCCTTTATTAAATAGTCGAAATTGACTATTAATATATAGTTTTGTTTTGCACCTACGTAACTCTATATATATGCATGTTTTTGCCACTTTGCTTGGAAAAAATTATCATATATCTTAATTCTCTTTCAATAACATTTCCTTATTCAATTTGCTACTCGTCTACCAAAAAAAAAAAATAGATATTGTTTCATTTTTGCCATTTTGGTTATAATAAGTTCTTGGTAGATGTATGTCCTTTATGATCTCTCAGGTAAATATCAAAAATGAGTCCTGAGTTTTGACGGTTGTGAATTAAGGATTAGTTACTTTATGGAACACTTATTTCCTTGGATGGTAGTACAAACTTGTATTTTATCCTTTAAAGTTAGTATGCCTGTTTAATAATTTACAGTTTTAAGGAGAATTCTTCGTCTTTTGCAAATAGATGAAGAATAAAATGAAAATTTGCTTTCGATTGCATTCAGGCAGAGAGAAATATGTTTTGTTATATTTCAGACGAGTTTTAGTACGGATATTAAACTATAATTCTTAATCTCTTCCAATTTACAAATATAATTTGGTATTGTTTTTTCTGCAAATGGTAGATGAAACTTGTATGTTCTAACTTTTTCAGAGGTCTGTGAAATCTTGAAAATATGACGTTCCCCGAAATCACAAGTCGCTATATAGAATGCTTGTAAAATTCAGAAACTTGCAGTACGCTCATATTTAATACTTTTCTGTTAAAAAAGAAAGTGTAAAAATTAGAAGGCGAAAACGGGAAAAGGGGAGGGTTGTTACACGAACACTTTCTTCGCAATTTAATTCTAAACGAATAGTGATTATCTAACTCTTTGTTCAAATATCGAATACACAATCAAATCTCTAACTTATCCACGCTTGCAATAACCTTTTTATTGACAGGTTTCTGCTGGCATTTGATTGGACAACAGTTTAATGTAGGCGTGACAATCTATCACATTTATCCAATCAGCTGTCTTGTTAAACAAACCTGTGTGCGATGACCCACTGTCCACATAGTTTAGTTTAGAGAGTTTAGTTGTTTTTTTTATAATGAATTGATCATCAAAAGGACGTTGTTGCTATTGTTGGCCAGGGACTTTCTATACTAATGAAAAAGTCCATGTGTGTGCTTGTCAGATAGAAATAGACAACGCTTATATTTAAGAATAAAAAAAGTGATGAAAAAGAAATATTACTATGCATTGGATGGATATTAAGACCATGGAAGTACTATATTGAATATAGTACTTCCATGCTACGATTAATCAGTTCAGTTCAGTTCAGTTTCTTGTATATTCCTCCATTAATTGTGGAGCACTACCCATAGGGTATAATTGTAGCAACTATATACACCTTAGAACATAAGGAAACATTTAATTATGTACAGATGACTGAATTTAGGCAATAATAATTACTAAATAATTAATATTATAACTAATTCATAGGATTGTCATCATAAAATTTTAAAAATAATATTCATAATGTGCTGAAGTGTAAGAATAAGTTAAGTAAGAACTGGATATATTTACAAATAAGAATTTAGAATTTAAGTGGTCTTAAATTAAACTTTCTTATAATTGTTAGTTAAAGGTGCTATACGTACATCAGAATTTATAATGATAAGGTTATTTTATAAGACTTATGTAAAAGGGTTGGGGTTTAGAACGATTCATCATATATACATGTTTTCCTTCACAGTTTAAAGTTACCTTATTTCGGATCTTATCATTATTCTTTAAAGGTAACTGGATATTTTAAAACTTTGCAAAAAAATTTATTTAATTTAGGTCCTAATACGTCATAAAATAGTAAGATGGTAAAGTAGGGAACTATTTTATTTTCAAAAAGTTTACTTATACTGTACTTGTGTTCAAGTTTTTTTTTTCCTTTTTGTCCTCTGAGTATATGCATGGCTTGGGTGAAAGAAAAGCAATTGATCTATACTCATGCAAATAATCCTTTCAATTATGAATTCTTATAAAATGAACAAGTAATAGCTTTTCTAAAAAGCAAGCCGTCTCATAGCTGATGAAAGTGGAAAATGTTTTCTCTTTGTAGTTCAATTCGTTTAAAATTGTATGTAAATTGTAGTAGATAACAAAAATTATAAAAGGCTTATACCTTTTTTTAGATTTACCAATTTTTTTTGGGGGAAAGTATTAAAACTGGAAATTGGGGTAATGTCTTTTTATCGATTATTTTTTTTCAAACAGATATCGGAGTTGTTCGTTGGCTTTTTCTTTGGTTGTTTGCTTGTTTATTTG